GTTAGCAACAAGAAGGTGGTCAGGGAAAGTGTGGGACCCTTACTGAATGGGAGAGGCAACCTAGTGACAGATGATGTGGAAAAAGCTGAAGTACTCAATGCTTTTTTTGGCTCGGTCTTCACAGACAAGAGCAGCTCCCAGACTGCTGTATTAGGCAACACAGTGTGGGGAGTAGGTGAGCAGCCCTCACTGGTGAAAGAACAGGTTAAGGACTATTTAGATAAGCTGGACGTGCACAAGTCCATGGGTCCAAATCTAATGTATCCAAGGGTGCTGAGGGAGTTGGCTGATGTGATTGCAGAGTCATTGGCCATGATCTTTGAAAATTCATGGTGATCGGGGGAGGTCCCGGATGATTGGGAAAAGGCAAATATAGTGCCCATATTTAAAAAAAGGAAAGAAAGAGAACCCGGGGAACTACAGACCTGTCAGCCTCACTTCAGTCCCCAACAAAATCATGGAGCAGGTCCTCAAGGAATCCATTTTGAAGCACTTGGAGGAAAGGAAAGTGATCAGGAACAGTCAGTATGGATTCACCAAGGGCAAGTCATGCCTGACCAACCTGATTGCCTTCTATGACGGGATAACTGGATCTGTGGATATGGGGAAAGCAGTGGATGTGATATATCTTGACTTTAGCAAAGCTTTTGATACGGTCTCCCACGGTATTCTTGCTAGCAAGTTAAAAAAGCATGGATTGGATGAATGGACTATAAGGTGGATAGAAAGCTGGCTAGATCGTCGGGCTCAATGGGTAGTGATCAACAGCTCGATGTCTAGTTGGCAGCCGGTATCAAGCGGAGTGCTCCAGGGGTCGGTCCTGGGGCCGGTTTTGTTCAACATCTTTATCAATAAACTGGATGATGGGATTGATTGCACCCTCAGCAAGTTCGCAGATGACACTAAACTGGGAGGAATGGTAGATATGCTGGAGAGTAGTGATAGGGTCCAGAGTGACCTAGACAAATTGGAGGATTGGGCCAAAAGAAATCTGATGAGGTTCAACAAGGACAAGTGCAGAGTCCTGCACAGAGGAAAAAAGAATCCCATGCACTGCTACAGGCTGGGGACCAACTGGCTAAGCAGCAGTTCTGCAGAAAAGGACCTGGGGATTACAGTGGACGAGAAGCTGGATATGAGTCAGCAGTGTGCACTCGTTGCCAAGAAGGCCAATGGCATATTGGGCTGTATTAGTAGGAGCATTGCCAGCAGATCGAGGGAAGTGATTATTCCCCTCTATTAGTCACTGGTGAGGTCACACCTGGAGTATCGCGTTCAGTTTTGGTCTCCCCATTACAGAAGAGTCCAGTGGAGGGAAACAAAAATGATTAGAGGGCTGGGGCACATGACTTACGAGGAGAGGCTGAGGGAACTGGGGTTATTTTAGTCTGCAAAAGAGAAGAGTGAGGGGAGATTTGATAGCAGCCTTCAACTACCTGAAGGGGGGTTCCAAAGAGGATGGAGTTCGGCTGTTCTCAGTGGTGGCAGATGACAGATCACGGAGCAATGGTCTCAAGTTGCAGTGGAGGAGGTCTAGGTTGGCTATTAGGAAACACTATTTCATTAGGAGGATGGTGAAGCACCGGAATGCATTACCTAGGGAGGCTGTGGAATCTCCATCCTTAGAGGTTTTTAAGGCCCGGCTTGACAAATCCCTGACTGGGATGATTTAACTGGTGTTGGTCCTGCTTTGAGCAGGGGTTGGACTAAATGACCTCCCGAGGTCTCGTCCACCCTAATATTCTATGATTCTAGGACTCTGGGTACAGAGCCTATGCCAGCATGCACAGGAAAACTAAGCCCTGGAGGGTCTGAACACTCCTGAATCCACATCTAGAAATGGATAGCTAAAGTCTCAAGGCGTAGGGAGACTGGGAGAGGGACCCAACCCGAGTACAGCACTGACTTCTGCACAATCAGATTCCAGATTCCTGCCAGCCAGAGCCAAGAAAAGCACCTGTGCATTGGACAGGAAAATCACAGGGCACATGTGAAAGTCCCCATTTCAGCAGCTGCAGAGAAGGCCTCCTCGTATGAATAGAGGAGTCTTGTATTCACAGACCAGGCTCCTGTGCCGCATTAGGCAGATTTATGCTCAGCTGAACATTGGAGACACGTTTTTCCTTTTTTATATAAACCACAGAGATTCCAAGCAAGGCTGTATTGCAGCGTCATGTTACACAAGCCCCATACAAGCCATCAAGGGCTAAATATACCCTGTGAGCATGCAGCTCCAGTGGATCACTTGGGCTGGCAGAGCAGCAGGATCCTCCACCCTGCTAGGAAAGCTACAGAAATAACTCTCAGCTTGTTCAGAACAAAACGTCCCAGCCATTTAGAGCCTGGAAAATGAACCCCACGTACTGGAGCTCTCGGCTTGGTTCTGCTCCTCGACTTCCAATTTTTACTTCCCATTAAACAGGGACCCTTGAGTTGTTTAGGCCCTGACTCCCATGTGCATATAAAAATCACTAGTCCACTGCCAAGAAATATGACAGAGGTCACCAGCTCCAGAACATCCCGCATCTTTAATGCATAGCTGCTGCCCAGGGAGACTGCTTGCACCAATGGGGAGCAGTGCATGCTGGGACCTGGAGATTTCACGGGGGTCTCCTCCATGTTGAAGCTGATTGATCACCTGTCCTATGGTACACCCCTGTGGGCTGTTTCTAGCTGGTGGATATGCCGGGTATTCCTTGATCACCTCTGCTGTATGTCCCTTTATATTTAACTTCCTTTGGGGTTGTCTCCAGTACACGCCTGCTCTTTGTTACACCTGCAATACGTCTCTTCCACTTTGGTATCTAAGGCACTTTGGAGAATCGGTCGCGATGTTTTTAGAGGCATGCCTCCAGCAGTCGCACCAATGACTGAAAGTTTCTCTTCTGGGGCCAGTGACTGGAAGAGGTTACAAGCCCTAAAAGCTTTTGTACTGGTCCCAAAACACCTCTAGTCCTGGCAACTGATGAGACTCCCCAGCCTTGAGCCACATCATGCTAATCGCCAGCATGTGATTGATAAAGTTGTGTCAAAAACAAGTTAAAAAACAATATCAGCCTGACAGGACTTCACAGATGGATCTCTTGTAACCTGACTGGGCTGGAGAGCAATGCTTTGCATCACGGATATGAACTAATGGGGTACACAAACACTGATCAAGGAACTGTAAATTAAAAATTGCTTCAGTCTACTGTGCTTTTCTGACACTGGGCCAGGACTGAGAATAGCAAGTGGGGAAACTTAGACCTCTATTTCCCACTGGGCCCAGGGATGCATCAGGGCTCTTGGGTGTGCAGGGCGTTAATGAAAGTCAATTTCTCCAAGTTTAGTTTCCTCCCTTTGTTTTTTAGCAGCTGGGTGTTTAATGGGTTACAGTGATCATACAAAAATAGATACACCTCACAAAAGAGATTGTTTAAACTAGAGAGGGCAGGTGGAAGGACACTTCCCTTCTCCCCCAATCTCTCTCCCTCCCTGAACAACATGGGCTCCACCAAGTATTGGAATTGAATTTGCCCCCTTTAGCCCATCTGGACAAAAATAAATCCAGTGCCTGACATTTAAAATAGTAATGGTGCAACCCAAACCCTCACACTAACTCTTAGCAGCCTGGCATGCACATTGAACAGGAGGAGTGAACCTGCAGCACCCCATTAGCATTGTCTCTAGGGAGATAAGCAATTGTCCAATAACTACTTCCAGCTTCTCTCCAACAGAAAAGCAGAGAGCCACTCAATCATGTAGATATTCTAGTGCTAGCCTCTGTCTACAGGGTTCTCAAACTTCATTGCACCGTGACCCCATCTGACAACAAAGTTACTACATGACCCCAGGGGAGCAGGGAGAGAGCGTGAGCCCCACTTCCCTGGGTGGAGGGGAGAGGGGGCCACAGCCCAAGCCTCACTGCCCCATGTGGGGGTGGAGCTCGGGCTTCAGCTCTGGGTCCCAGCAAGTCTAATGCTGGCCCTGGTAACCCCATTAAAATGGGATCCCAACCCCCAGTTTGATAACCGCTGGGTCTCTATCTCTTCTAGAGTCTGCAGACATGTCGACATTTCAGGGGTATCGGTATCAAAGGCAGCTGTCAGATCTACAGAAACAACATGGATATTTGGTCTTCATCCATCATCAAGAGAAGACTGACAACTGAAATGAGAGCAACTTTCAACCACAGCATCAAATCCACCATCTCTGGGCCCAGACCCTTAGATCCCTTCCTCTTCCAAAAAAATTATTTGTGCAGCTCCTTCTCCAAATAAGGTACATGACCACTAGGGCTGACTTGGAGTCTGTTCCAAATTCAAGCCACCCACGAATCACGAATCAAGGAAATTAAATACAAATGCTCAAACAGTTAAAGTGCTTTAAGACTGTAAGTGGCTGTTCTTCCAACCACTTTCCATGTGCAGTTCTAATTTCCAACTCCTACTTCAGAGAAGTGAGAGCTAGCAGGGTTACTTGGCTTGTGAATATCCTGCTAACATTTTAAACAGCATCCATAACACCCACCTTGCTACACAATTGAATTTCAAAGCCCTGGCAATTGACATGTTTACCAGATGATTTGGTTTTCCACCTGCCTGAGTTACTTGGCTTTTGAGAACAGGTGACGGAATGAACTCTCCACCTTGTTCAAACAAGCTCAACCAAAACAGCGCAACTCCATAGATCTGCAGGAATGTCCAGGCTCTGCCCAGTTCCCCCAGGCACTCGGTGTAACAGCTACAATTAACACAGGGACTGCCCAAACCACCAGCAGGTGTTTTCTCCCAGATAGGGATTTACAGCTGGAAGTACAGGCTTATTCAGGGTATTAAAACTATGCTCAGTAGATGTCTCACAGACTAGTTCTGCTTGGCAGAGGGGAACAGCCTGCATCAGCAAGACCAACAGAGGCTTGGTCTGCAGGATAATATGAACATATGGACACACTGTTAAGCATTTGATGCTATAAACAAGGAACAATTCTGGAAGCTGTTCATGGACCATAGCAAAGAGGAGGATTCCAGGGGCACTGAGGTCAGTTAGGCCTACAACAGTAAAAAGGGCAGAGTCTATTCTTCAGCTCCCCTTCTGAAGAGAACTAATGCCTAGAGCGGTGGTTCCCAAAGCATGGCCCCCCAGTCACATGATGCTGGCTGGCTTTTCCTATTTCTAGCGACCAAACTGCATGAAAAGCAGCTAAAAAGACAGTAAGTATTTCCTAGTGTTACCTTTCCATGGCAGCCATTGCGGTAATTGCCACATTTCTTCAGTCAGCAGAGGGGAGGCAGAGAGCAGGATCATGAATTAGGAGGAATGTCACTACAAGGAATTTGAGACCCCTAGACCTGAAGAATGAAGTCCATGAGCCCTACGGGGTCCCTCAGGGAAGGAGAGGAAAATCACATTGTATATGCACCTCAAGTTACCCCAAAAATGATCCTGCCCATGAACATTCTCAAAGGCCCCGTTCAACGTGTCCAACAATAACCATGATGCATAATTTCCTCTGTATTATGGCCAAGGAGAAGAGGTCACTGATTTCCAGGACAGCTTTGGCTGTGCTCATTCAACCACAGAACGGACTCAAGAAAGGAGTCAAACTACCCTGATGCAAGTCCCAGTCCCAAATGAGGTGGCTTCTCATTAGTGCCTATGCTGTAAAACTCCCCACATCCCGAAAGCTACATGGACATCCCAGAACGTGATCTAGTGGTTAGGGGACAAGGAATCACAACTGCTAGGTTCCTTGATTGGCTCTGCCACTGACTCACTGTGTGACCCTGGGAAAAATCATCAACTCTCTGGGCCTTCATTTCCCTATCTACAAGATGGAGCCATCGCAATGTTTGCAGGGATGGAGAGTGAGAGCTGGGTGTGTTTTAGAGGCAGGCTGGCTGGCTTCAAACATTCCCCTACAAAGCCATCCCGTAACGAGGCTGAGCGCCAGCCAACATGCCAATTCAGTTATTCAGACAGAGGAATTTCCCCATTTGCAGAATCTGCTCTCAACTGTTGTGTTTCTCCTCTCCTGGCGTTCTCCAGCACAGGACTATTTTAACGGCTCATTCTGTCCAGTCACAGAGCAATTCCAACAGCCTGCTGGCAAGAGGATGACTTTCAGTTATCTGATCCAGTCTGACAGATGAGTTATTAGTGCATGCACCAAACCTCAATGAGTGCATGCTGCGCCCTCCTCCCTTTGCTAGGTCACTAACCAGAAGGCAGGGATAATAAAAAGGTAAGTGAGATTAGCACAAGGGGAGAAGGAAGGGGGAGAAAGAGCTCACAGGCACCAAACACCCAAGCTACACTACATCTCATTCATCAGTTCAACATAAATACATGGTCTACTTAGAAATTCAAACGTCTAAAGAGAAGTGGGGGCCAAAATAATCAAGGAGCTGTAATCAGGGAGAGTGTAAAATTAAATTCACTTAGCTTAGAATACAGTGACTCTATATAGCTACCCTTGCCTAGAAAGGTTAATAGCTGTTTGCAATTCCATAGCAGGTAACGTAGCAATCAATGGTGTAGAAAATGGAAACAAGGAAATGGACCTGTTGGCACATTTCTAGCAAGTGAAGAGTGAGTAGAGAGAGTCTGGAAGGTCCCAGGCACTTCTGAATCACTTAGCCCACTGGTACGCCGACCTCAGTGGTTCTGGAGCCAAATTAGGGATCAGGTTTACCAAAAAGAGCCACAGCAGTGTAAATTCAGTGTTTAATTGACTATAGTGCTATAGATTCAAACACAGTGTTTTCATATCATGTGCTGCAAAGAGCCGCAGGAGATGCATCAAAGAGCCACTTGCCACTCAAGAGCCTCAGTCGGAGTATCACTGACTTAGCCCTTTAATTCTCCCCCAACTTATTTTTGATCCTTTTAGACCTACTGGCAAAAGCAATATTGTCCATTGATGACCAACTTCTGAGACCTACACATTTCAGAGTGATGGATCAAAAGCTAAGGCCCAAAATTTACTTCCTTTAAAATAGCTACAACCGTCTGAGGAGCATTCTAGATTTTAAAATTCACCATTTCAGTCATGAGACGTTGAAGTAAATAAAAGCCGTTATTTCTATAGGCCCCACAATACGTGTCAAGGTCTCGTAATGCATTCAGTCCATCAGCCGACAGTTCCCAGGGCGCTTGATAGTGTGTGTATGTACTGATGTATCCGGGTGTGCAGGACAGAAGAGAATACATGTGAATTTCAATAGTATCCAAAAGATGTAAGAAAAGCAGTATTTACCAAACAGAAAACAAGACAAAAGTGAAATGGGCAGATAGTTACTTTATGTACACACACTCTGCTAGAAAATAAGGCATGCCAAATTTTAGCTAATAAATCTCAACTCAGTACCCCCACCACCATTCTAGAGATGAGGAAACTGAGACAGGGCAGTTCAGTGGACTTGCCCAAAGAGACAGAGGGAGTTAGTGTCAAAGCTAGAATAAGAACGTCAGCATTTGGGGCTCCCAGGCCTGAGCTCAGACCATGCCTGTTACACGCAATGGCCAGGAAAAACAGTACACAAGGATACCCTAGAGCAATGATTCTCAACCTATTTACCATCATGGGCCGCATATGCGGCTCTTTGTGTTAGGTGGGCCACATCCATTCAATATACACTAACCGAATGGCTCTGAGGATGTCACATGGGCCACAGCTGTGTGCTGATTAGGCCGCAAGCAGGCCGCGGGTTGAGAACCACTGTTCTAGAGGATGCAATCCTAAATCCCATACTCCAAATTTAGTTCTATATGATGTTAGAGACGTCAGAACTGCACTATGTACGTCACAGCCTTTTACACTGAAAATACAGCTGTAACCAGTTTGAAACAGCTGATTATACTAGAGAGATTTGTGATTTTAGAAAGATCAACGACAGGAGGAGCATACCATCAGCCCTGAGAGAAGGCAGCCGAGCACCAGGACAGCATAGTTTCCCTGGCTGCAAAAAAAATGCCTGACTTCTTGCAGAACTGTGCAGCTCCGAGATGAATACAAGGATCATGCGAAAGGAAAATTGTCTCAATTGTCAGTACTATTATGGGCTACTCATCAAGAATGCTGTTTAACTGGACTATCTGGTGAGCTGGCTAATGAATCCTCAGAACAAATGTAGTGAAACACATGGAAAGTTACCATGTGCCTTGCAATGCTAAATCCTTCTCTTCCTACAATAAAAACTAGGTTACAATAGCATTAAGGGATTGGCTTAAACTCATGTGGGCTGAAAATTCAGAGGAAAATTTAAAATGGCACTGTCACCCATTGGCAATGCGCCAAGGCACACAGGGGATAGGTATTCTTCAGTGCAAAGGCATAGTACAAAGAGAGAGAGAGAGAGAGAGAGAGAGAGAGAGAGAGAG